AGTTAACTATTGACGAGATGCTGATGAAAGATACAGAGATGTACGAATTGTATAATGTAATCCTAGGTTTTCATAGCATATATCGGATGATCCAGGGACAATGGAAGACTTTTTATTTTTAGCTTTTCTCCACAAAACTCGAAAAGGTTTTTTCTAGTTTTTTTTGTAATCAAAAGGTGCGCCGTAAAATTCTATACTAAAATATATAAGGATATTTAATCTTAAACTGAAGCATGAAAAATTAGACACAAATAATATTGCGAAGCTCCAGTATATCCAACTTTCTAAAACAAAAATTCTGAAAAATTCAGGCTGATTTCTTTAGTTGTACAACTCAAACATTGATCAAGGCAAGTTTTTCGTAGAATTAAACGTTCTCTTTCTCTAATATTTAGCTTATTTTGCTAATAACTTCATTCAAAAAAAAAATGAAAGTATTCATGTTTTTGTGGCTTGGATGTAATACACTATTCATTCTCCTAGAATATCAAACAGAAATAAACCTGAAAGATTAATAGTTGATCGACGTATGCGAATTCTCTTGAATGCCTGGAAACGGCTTTTCAAAAACATGATTTGTGGTGTGAAAACAATTTTGAATATAACTTTAAAAAGGAACTTTTCAAGTACTTCAAAATGGCTCAACGTACCAATAAATAAAACAAATTTGAGATTAAACTATGTTGTATATTCTTGTAGAGAATTTCACAGCGCATCTTTTGGTAAAAAAGAGAGGAAAAAAAATCATTTAGGCTATATGATGGAAAACTTAAAATAAAATGTTCGCCCATTTTCACTGAACCACTCGATATTAAGTATCATTTCTATTTTCCTGATTATTCTCCATTTTTTTCACGAAACTTATTTGAAAATTGATTTATCCACAGTTTATTTCTTTGAGCAACATCTTTTTTCAAAATTCTACAAAAGTTGAAGGTCTAAGAAAAATTAATTATGTACAAAAGAAATATTAGACTATACATACCACGTAGGTAAAGCATTGCTCATAATGAAAAAGATGCAGGCCACAGTTACAAGGCTGCCACTTACAATTGCTAATACTCGTTTATCTAAAGCCATTTGTTTTGCTGTTAGAAGTAAAATGCTTTCATTGATTCCGTATGTATATAAATATATATATATGAGTTAAATATTTTGCTGATGAAAACGTATTTGTCTTTCTATTCTCACCGTCGAGAAAATAGTGACTGCTGTTACTGACAAACACTATTTAAGATTTTTTTTTGTATGCTCCTATCAAGCTAGTAAAGGAAACAATTTAAAGTGCTACGTGCGATATTAAAGAATGACGGTTTATAATGACATGATGAAAATATATGGACATAATCATTTATTACTTGTTATATCAATATTACTTTTCCATAAATAGTAGTTCAATATCGAGCTATGAATGATGTATGATGAGAAAAAGCATGAATTAACAATATCACAAGACCGTATATCATACTTACTAATGAGTAATAAATTCAAGACAGCGTTTTTATATGCTAAAATAAAATTTCTAATAAAATAATATTTTTTTTTCTTATATCGTTTGTCAGAAAAACATTCAGTGAATATTTTATCACACGATGATCCTTTGTTTTCTGTAGACTTCATTGAATCGATACCATTGCAGAGCTATTCTATCTTCCTATTTTTATTCTCTCTTGATTTTACTGCAGTATATTTTAGATCCAATGTTGTATGTCTCTTAGATAACTACTTCTAATCGATATCATTTTTTCTACCATATTTGAGGGTTGGGGGCGTGGAGCACTGACATTTTATATGCAGAGAATGATAAAAAGCAAATTAACTGTACTTTACAAAGATGACAACATGAGAATAAAATCATGCATCTAAGAGGCTACAAAGATACAACCATTTCTAATTCAGCAAGTTCTACATTTACAATAATATCTGTGATAAACAATTGAATGCATAAAAAAGGCATGAAGACGATCAACTCTGATTTTGAATGTGACAAATGAATGATACTGTCAGAGATTGTATGATTGTCTATGAGTTCTGTTCTATTGATGACGAACACAATTTGATGATTTTGACTATTCCTTTAGATTCGCCTTCACCATGAATGTATCTGGGTCTTTCTCTTCGTGAGAAGGTTCACAATACATGGGTTAACGTTACTACGCATTATTATTTTATGACTTGAATCAAATCATGTGTATTGTGCTTGAGTTATAACGGTCGATTAGATAGCAGTGATACTGTTTCTGTATACTTCATTGAATTCATTCGGTAGCTTTATTCTGTAATTTAATCTATTCGTACGCGTTTTTCTTCCATTTCTTCATGTGATTATTCAGCATATTTTATCTTTGCGGTCAATTGTATTCGTTGTTCCTGCCTGCTCCATTTTTCGACACTACAGAATATTTACATTCATCATCGATTTTTCAAGCGATTCTGTTTTCATTCACCAGATTCCATAGTAAGTTTTCAGTTTGCCTCAAAGTCAAATACTATGCGTAAACTTAAATGGCCTTTTCTATTTGACATTATCCGTCCTATAGTGCATAAAATCATTCCTAATTTATAAAGAGAAACTATTTCAACTACAGAAGAACATTTAAGTAGTAGGTATGTAACTAGCATCATTACTTTCGGTTCATTCTTTTAACTTGTTATTCTTCGAGACTATATACTCCTAGTGTCGTTTCGACTTCAAACAACAGTTTTTCGTATGAAATGTAATTTTATTCATTATAGAAATCGATACTGATATGAACTCATAGATAGGATGTAATTGAGCATCAACTAATGAAAGTATACATCATGCGTATGTGAGATAACTCGTAATTCATAGAATTGTATTTTGGTAGCTTTTTCAGCATTGTTTTCATATTGCTACTCATAAAGTCGTGCGAATAATATTGCACTTCATAATGAATTTTTTAATTTTCTTGAAAGAGTGATAGAGTGAATGGAATCTTCCATTTGGAGAATAGTACACCACGGAGAAGAATCTTAGTTATTGAACGTAGTCAATAGATTACCTTCAAATGATTGGTCAAATACATATGTTAGTTAAAACATTGATCTTTTGATCGTTCCTATTCACGTTGCCATAGTAAGATTTTCCATACGGCGATGGGGACGATCGTCTTTACTCGGATAATACAGTGTTCGTTTTTTTTCTCAAGCAGTCTATCATGATAGATGAATGATCATTCCTAGTCAGAAAATTTCGAGATCTGTCTCTGCACAATACTCGAAAGTAATTGATCAAAAGTGGTTGCGTTTGCAAACTTTCATATTTCTCACTATTCATATCTAATAAATATGTTGTGGTCAATGATCAAGATAAACAATTCTTTAATATTTACACAACGAGTTGCAGTTTGTTGAGATCCATCCGACACTGACTATCGAAATGCTAGCCGAATAAGTTCAGATGTGAACCAAATGGATGATTTCATTATCCAAGTAATCGCAGTTTGACACTTGGAGATCGATTATCTGATTGTGATGCAATCTGACTACAGCTATTCAATGGTAGCTCTTGTTCAATTTGAGTTGATTGCTCGTCTGTAAAATAGATGAATACATCAAGAAAAAAGAAACACTGTATTTTATTGCACAAAAAAATTGTAATCAAGTTCCTCATGTACACAAACGAATAAACACATAAATCAAATATATGCAGCTACCTTCGATTCGTGAAGATCAATGTAACTCTTGATAGAAGAAGCAAAGCTCTTGGAAAGACGAAGGATTACAAAGTAAGTATTCGGATACAAACACAAGTTTTAAACTTCAAATACGTATGAAAGCGAAGTAGAACTCTCAAAGAAATTTTTATTCAACATTGATGAGCACAGGGATCTTTATATTAATTAGGAAAAATTGGCAATTGAAACCTAGGTCTCTGCTATGTCCATTAGTACATTTACAAAATAAACAGAGATATGGGGAACGATGGAAATATAATAAATGAATTGCTTTTTCACTATAAATAGCATGTTGATTTTATTGATGTTACTACATATGGGCACGATTCTAAAATAATAACAAGATTATTCTATCAATTTCTTATTTAATAATTGATTATTGCTTGTTCATTGTGCTGGTAGACTGAGATTAAAAGGAATGTTTCATGTTAACATACCACATTCTAATCAGTGTGAAGAAACTAAGATCATCAATTGTGTCAAGTCTTCCAAATATTGTTTCTTCCATGTTTTCGATCACAAAATACTCTATAGAAAATGATTCTGATTGATTGATTACAATTTTTCGTATGATATCTCAAGAACGCTATCTGTTTCAGATAATTGACACATAGAACGTAAGAATTTATTCATGGCGACGGACTATGCGCTCTTCATTGTTACCATTCCCAATGATCAAACGAAAGAAAACAGCACCCAAGAAGCAACGGTAACATTTTCTTGATCAAGCAGTGCTATTAGTTTATACATTTCTATTTTCATCTTCTGAAGACATCCTCATCACTATGCGTCAAGTTGAAGAATTATTTGGCCAACAAGGTCGATATCGAACCAGTGTGGATATCATCTGCCGATCAAAAGACTTATCAAGTCACATTTTACGTTGAATTCGGCTTTATGAGCGATCGAATCTTATGTGATTTGAATCAGAGAGACATCGGCATCAAGAATGGCAGTCAAGTTTGTGTCGTTCCTGCTACTGTTGTCATGGGAATTCACGACCATGTATCAAGTGATGCATTAAACACAGCCGTAACAACTATTGAAAGAACTTCGAGTCTTGACGATAGTTGTCAGCCAATACCATTCGAAGATTCGACGTTAAAAAACAGAATTCACAGATCTATCGATACATTCAAATTCAAGAAAAGTGTTCGAGCTCGACTCATGGTACATCAAGTAGTAGCTGGTATTCGAGCTGCTACGGAACTCTCGTTCGATTTCATCGTTTTACTCAGCCTCGCTTCGATGCTCGCCGGTTTTGGACTTCTGGAAAATTCGTCGGTGACCATTGTGGCCAGTATGTTGGTCAGTCCACTGATGAATCCAATCATGGGCATCGTGTTTGGTTTGTCAGTACGTGAACATTCGTTGTGGCAACGTGGCATTCGAAACGAATTGATTGGTCTCGCTCTCTGTATTTTGTGGGGTTTTATCATCGGGTGAGTGGATTCTCATACTATCAATGTATTGATCTTTGCCGATTTAGTCTGTGCACCACGCATGCTGAAACCAGATGGGGAAGTTCAATGAGTTTTCCCACTTCGGAAATGAAAGCCCGTGGCGATCTCAAACGTCTATGGGTAGGTGTTCTGATTGCCTTGCCCAGTGGTGCTGGTGTTGCATTATCAGTTCTTGGTGGAAACACAGGTAATAGTAAATTGTGTAGAATTCTGATGCTATATTTCGTTTTTGTCAAAGGGTCATTGGTTGGTGTGGCTATATCTGGTGCGTAAATCTTTGTAAACTCATGATCTCACTTCTATGAGGTTTTTGTAGCTTCTCTTCTTCCTCCAGCGGTGAACTGTGGCCTTCTTCTTGCATATGCCATACTTGCTCGTGCATTATCGACTGTAGCTCGTACTAGCATAAGTAATAACGCGAACGTCCAATCGAGTGAGCTATTTTTTAACTTTCAAAATCGACTCCGCCCCAATGACCCTATCGTAAACTGTTCTCGATATGTCAACAATGACTACTTGCCATACTATTCATGCTATATGCCTCACGAAGCAGCTATACTCGGTAGTTGTAGTCTTCTCCTTACCGTGGTAAATATTCTATGCATTATTGCCATGGCATTGATTATTCTCCGTATCAAAGAAGTTGCACCGTTGCATCAGGCCAGCAAAGAAATTGTGAACTTCTTTCATCATGATGTGAAAGTGGCACGTAATTACAACAAGGGTATTAATGAAAATGAGACTAATTACAAAAACAAACTCGATTCATCGGGAATTGGGACCATCGTATTGAGTAAATCGATTGCCAAGCATTGGAAAGGTTTGACGACGTCCTCGAAAGATCACGATCAAATATCATCGACCACTGATCGATCGAATCTTGAATTCTATTCGACTAGTCGTACTGACTTGAGTCGTTTGCAATCGTATGCCAAAGACTTTGATCTCGATGTTTTTCGTGCCGAAGATCGAGAATTGACGACACCTGAGAGCGAAGCAAAAGTAATATGCTTCGTGAAGAATATTCTCGATATGTACGAAGAAGATCCGTCGACATTTATCGACTTATGTGGGTATCAACCGTACGGAGCACAAGCATCAGCGCAAAAAGAACATATTTCGTTCTACGAACATGTCATTGAATTACTTCCACCGAAATGGTACAAAATTTTTGATCGTGAACGACGTCAACGAATCAATATAGAATTTGCTCGTCAACAAAGGTCGAAATCATTTGCTGTGCCGCCTTCTCACTCTCCGACTCGTTCTCGATTGAACCAATCATTCAATGAGCAATATGGAAGATGTAGATTGAGTCAACTTCAAAGCAATGACTCTGAGCCAAGCAATAATCGTCGCACCATACATTTCTCTGAACATCAAAGAAAACCTGATAACGCGCAGCAGATGAATACCGAGAAGAATCATTCGAAAAATTGAAGACAGTACAAATATTCGAAATCGATGAATATATGTACATATCTGAAAGCTGTATTCTTTGCTTACAGTAGTCGTAAACTGAAATAGAAGCTCTTCTCACATTGTAGCATGTTAATATATTTCTACTAAAAATAAGCGAATTAAATAGTTTTATATAAGTTCTAATCCCCTTATGCAATATTTTTTTCTTACATGTTTCAAGAGTCGAAAAGACTGATATTTACAATATATATACTAGATGTCTAGATCTACTTTATGCCAGAATTTGAATTTTCTACTTATTACTGTTACAGAGATGCAAGCATTACTAAAATCAAAAAAAAAAATCTTAAATATTTTTAGAAGTACTTGAACATTTTTTAAACTTGGTTATAATGTGACATGAAAAGTACTGCTTGAAAAAAATATTTACAAATCGAAATTTCTTTTAAGTAAACAATAAAAACACATTCATCAATGAGTATATATTTGCTCTCCATTTTGATCTATCAGCAGCTTCAGTCAAATCGGTATTTTTTTCATCATTTCACAACATTTTTCAGCAGTAAACGTTCTCCATTGTTGTACTACTTGGTTCTCCAATTCTAATCTATCGTCAAATTATTCTCTTCTCATTCTTTCTTTAATTACACCCAATACATTCATCATATAAAGAATGAACACAGTATTTTTCATCATCGTTGTCCTGTGTTTGCTATTCTGATCGTCTTGAAAGATCGGTACCAAACCACTATTTTTTAAATACTTGTTTTATTGCTGGTACTATTTCTTCTATTAAAAATTTCGCATACAAATCGCTTATTAAATACATCTTTTTATTCTTTTTAACTTGTAATTATTGCTGATGTAACCATTTTGTAAAATTAATTGGTTCACATACAGAAATAAGTCCATGCGATGAAATTCCATCCAAAAAAAAATGAATTCTTTTTGAAATTTATCCGTTAATGCATTGACCAAAGGTTGTAGTATAGTTTCATCCTCATCTGCCCACAAATACCATCATTTCTTTTGTTGTGAAATGGTTGTAAAGTAAATTTGCTACTAAAATCTATATTTACTATTCTATCCGATTTCCATTTGTATGCTTCCTTTCTAACTTCAAATTTCATTCTTAACTGTTTAGCACAAATTACTCTTCTAATTTTATTATTATTTGTTAATTTTTGAAATTTTTTCATCTTACACCATTTTAATTTTAATTTTCGTACAATGCTATATACTGTTTGTGTAGAATATTTTATTCTATCTCTGTTCAGATTTGAGGATATGCGTGTGGGTATTCTCTTTATCTACACTCACACCTACACCCACATCCTTATCCAGTAAAACATTTGGGAGAGATACAACATATTCTCAATCAAGGTCTAAGACGATATAAAAGTTTAGAAAAATCATTCGATCTATCGGATGATTATCATCAAAAAGCACAAATTGCAAATGAGAATTGATAATCGATTGCCAAATCTTTATTGAGTAAATACATTGATAATATGTTCATGTCTATGGAAGAATTCATCAATTTACTTGATCTCGATCTGAAAAAGATAAAATTGCCGTTTTAGATCGTCTTTCAACACTCATACGTCTGATTAATGAAGCACCTGTTGTACTTATTCTTGCTCGTGATGTTCGATATTCATTGTTTGTTCATAAAATGATTTTCAACCAAATACATCCAATAATTATAAATGAATGAAACAAAATTTAAAAAATATTATAAAAATAACACGAGTATTCAAGCCAATGATATGTCGTTGGAAAAATGAGCAACAAGTCAAAATAACACTTACATCAACATTATGACCAATGGTTCTTGTGAAATAATAATCGAAGGATGCAATTCACAAAATCAATTGGCATACAAAGAATTCCAATCATTCGTGAGATGGTTAAAAAAATTGTGCTCTTATTCGATATCCCGATGGTGGTCAGGAGTTCAGCTATATCTCAAGGGAAATGAATGTTACATGTAGGATGACGTATTTAAATTCAAGATTTAATTGGATAAATCATATCTTGTTCATAAGCTCTAGGATGTAATTATGTCTGAATTCTGTCTCAGCAAAGGCAAAAATTTGTTAGTAAAAATCAATGAATCGAATCCTTCACTTCATTTTTATTTTAGATGTTCTACTACGAATTTTTACACGTCAAATGCACAAATCATGTTTTGACATTGAAGAAAACGTTTCACATGTTACCGATAGTAAACAAACATCGATCGATTTATGCAATAGTTTGATAGATTCTAAAGTGACTCGTGAAACTCAAATGGAAGTCGTTGCATGAATCGCTGTTTGTCAATTTGATTGTCGAGTCGAAGGTGATTTTGTTCGAGATTGGATCGTTAGTAATTATACGAAACGACCAATAGGAAATCCATCTTCTTGACTTGCTTACTACACTAATGCAACTGCGACGAGTATACCGCTGATAAAAAAAAGACTTAATTCCAACAGATCTCGATTGCCATTTGCCAACACATAAATATATTGATATTAGCAAGTTTCTCGACTTTTTACACAAGTATAACATTGAATGTAGAGTTGTTCACGAAGATTGGCGATATACGTATCTTGCTGTTAGATGAACATAGTACAATGGGTCCTTTTACAATGGATCTAATAGAATCGCATGTTGCTTTGACGCATGATCGTATGACGTTTTATGTTAGTGATTTGTCATTAGAAAAAGATTATACGAAAGAATTATGAATGAGAGTTGATATTCAACATAAAATCTATTTGATTGAACTAGAAACTATTGTTGATCATATTAAGAAGAAACTTTGACAAAATATAAGCTCGAGATTGGTTGCAGATTGGACAAGTCGTACATGTTATTCCTGATCCGCCACTCAAATATCAAGTAGTTCTAGTTTTGTTGCCTGAATCAACAGAACTATATAGATCATTGGTGAAAAATAGTTCAAGATTCGATTGGACAACATGTTCGAATTATTTTCATTGAATAAATCAAGAATTCATTGCTGGAAGATGTTTATCTAGTCATGAAGCAACTTATTACAAAATAATGCTCAGATCATAATCTTAATAAACAAGAACTATTTCATGGGACGTCAAAGAAAGGAATTAATCAAATCATTACTGATGACTTCGATGATCGATATTAGGGAGCCAAAGGCAAGTGGGGTAAGTAATAAAAGAAAACATTGATTTCTGTTTGCGCTTAGGTCACGGCGCCTATTTTGCCAATAATTCAGGTCTCTCTCATACTTACACAACACCGAATCCAATCGATCAAACACATGTGATTCATTTCAATAAAGTTGCTTTGGGTAGAGAATTGCTACTTTCAGCAATCAATCACGATTTAATGTCGGCGCCGATAGAATATCATTCTACACATGGAAAGCTTTCACACACCTCAAACTCTGATGAATTTATAGTGTATCGTTTTGAATAAGCTGTAGCTTATTTAAAAATTATTTATAAAGCATAGTATCATACAGGATCGAATTCAGAGGACTATTTCTTTCATTTACTTGTAACAGTCGTTTCTTTCGCTTGTTCTTGAATTGAATTAAATAAGGCACTTCCATAAATCCATGAGTGTAATATAAAGGAATTTCACAGAATAGAGTGTGGGTCTTCTCTCCATCTATACCCTCAATGTTGACGTGGAATTTTTTTTTCTTTGATAATTGTGCTTGAATTTCGATTAGAGCTAAACGAGTCTTCAGCTTTTGATATTGTTTCTGAGTTTGACTCTTCATATATCTGTATTTCATCTTTATTGCTGAATTCAGAATGAAGATTAGTATTATAATCTATTCAGTAGAAAACTAAAGTTAAATTAGTTGTATCAATGTTATATGTTAGTCCAATATGTTAGAAATAGTGAAACAAAGAGAACAAGCTAAAAAATTCTTCGAACTTCATGGAAAACAGAAATGATCAAAGAGAAACTAAATGAATAGAATGGATGCTAATATTTCTTGGTCAACTTTTTTACCAATATCGTTCACCATAATTGTCTTTATAAAGATCGCAAAAACTCTATTGAAAAACAAAGCTCATTTTTATTAAAAGATTAGTTTATGGCAACAGAAGTTCAAATCTCCTAATCGGGTATAAAATGTATGTGTCAGAGATACAATTTTTTCTAGGGTACATATAGCAGTCCTGGTGTGAAAGTAAAAGTATGGACAAAAAGAAGAAGCTCAATTAGATTCTAAACTACATTCATACAGTACGTTTGTATTGTGTTAACTATTCTGTTAGAATTAAACATATTGAAATGCCATGAACTGTCAATTACCTAATGACGAATACTTCATTACGTATTTGAATAATACGTTTGCAAAAAAATATATCAAATTGTATGAACTAACAACTACCTCAAAAGTTTCGTGTCCTTATGCAAGCACAACAAAATATGCAAAGACATACACAGTCATAATATTATTCTTATTTTAGTCACAGTTTTGAAAGATAAAATATCAAGAGATGACAAATCACGTATCATTTACAAAATAGACATACATATTTATTAACGATCACTTGACAGTGCAATACTCGAGATCTGTTTGGGCACAGATTTCATCAATATATGTTTGTTTCAAATTTAAGCATAATACAAAGTATATTATTTTAAAGAGAACTTACTTTCTATTCAGTTTGGTAATGAAATGGTTTAAGTTTCATTTAGAAACAGAGAAGCTAAACTTAAAAAGTTACACTTTTTAAAAACCTAGGCATATCAACAATTGAGGGTATGGGTGGGTATGCGGATGTGTGTGTGTGTGTGTATGAATGTAAGAGAAGAGAATACGAACACCCACACCCTTGTTAGCACACCGAGAAAACACTACCGAACAACAGTTGTATAAACAACAAAGTTATAATCTTATCAACGCATTTGAAATTTTTGAACCGATTTATCCTTTCTCACGGCAAAAAAGCCAATAATAAGATATTAATGTGATATTCTAGTCAATCGATTCATTCATCTTTGCTTTTTATTCATCTACAATTTTTTTTTCTCGCTCAAAAAACAATTATGATTTCTGCAAAGAGATACAATGTAAAATTCTAAAAATTTCGCCATGTTTCTTTTCGACCAAAGTTGAAATGGCTAAGAATTAAGTTCCGATATTAAACACGGTATTATCTTTCCGATTATTCGTTTCATTTACGACAGTTAATCTATGGCTTTTCAACTAACCATAATTTTGCTCGACTCAATCAATCAAGCAGTAAACAAAGAAGAGACATTAGTCATTTGGCATCTTTTTCTATTTTTATTATGCTCATAATGAGTGGCCAAATAATAAATGAAAAGATTAGATTCCTAATGATACAGTAAAATTAAGAGCATCTCTATGATAGTTACAAATAATTCAAATGCTGGCTTTGATTTTCTTTGTTCATCTATTGACAATACTTTAAATACATGAATATAAGTAGTTTTGTACATCGGACATATGTATTCGAAATTTTAATTTAATAGAACTAAGATTTGTTTGTTTATGTCTCACTTTCAAAGATTGATTTTCATTCAACAATACACTTTGTAATATAACCTGAGTGCTTGATTGAAACTATAATTTCTTCTCAAATTTTCTCGAAGTTTTGAACTCGAAATCAACGTAGTGTCAATAAACACAGGGTTATAAATAGTTGATTAGGGTTGTGCATCATTGATAAATTCATGCTGAATTTCTTTAGTTGTCGAAAATGCGACAAGCATAAGCTTCGTAATAGGTAGAGTATGACGTGATTCATTCGATTGCCACCAATTATTACACTCATGTCATCTAGAGAATGAAAGCTCTTGTGCAAATCTGTCAAATATTTATTCTAGATATCAATTCTATTATGTATGTACATATGAGCGATATATATGTCACTCGAAAGTCAACTAATACAGGTAAGAGAATAAAACAAAAAAGAATCATTTTTATTAAAGCCATGCAAGTCTTTCCTAAGAATAGTACTACCACGATATTATTTTCTTTCAAAATAATTCTTCTAAAAATGACTCACTCTGATTAGAAGCTCATTTCCACATTTTTTTAATTAAAATTTACAAACAGTACATTTGATATCATAGGTACTAGAAAAAAAACAGTTCTTCATAGCAATTTCATTATTGTAACAACTATACATGCTTGTTAAACTGAGTATGATTGAATTCAAGGAAATATCTCTGGTTTAGCAACAATCTTAACACTCGAAAAAGCAAAAAACTTTTGTTTTTCTAAAAATTGTATCTGGTTTTTAAATGTTAGTTCATCGATATAAAGAGCAAAACTAACAGTACGATCCCTACGGGGTTTTAAAATTAATAGATGAATAGAGGAGTTTTTCAATTTTATCTCATGGAAGTCTGGACGGTTGTTAGATTGTAAATGAGAATCCACATTACGATTACCACCATCTGTGACGAAGGTCACCATGGTTGAGTGACTACATTGTCCGACAAGCGTCTACAAGGTACTGTGTTCAAATTTCAATACCACTAGCTATACATCTGCTCCTATTGTTAGTATGTACTTTGTTAATGTATATGAGGAGCTTAAGCAACTGAGAGCAAGAATTCTGCATTAGTTGTAGGAAAGATATTGAGTCATTGAACTTGTTCCTAGGCAGTAGTCCATACCGCAAGGTAGCTGAAAGGCAGGAGTATTCCTCGCTCTTCCAACGATCATACCACAAGGGAGCAAGGTAGTTT